TTAGAGTTTAATTCATCATCATCACCATCATTTTAGCCATTGTCTATCCACTGCAGGATGAAGGCCTCTTCCGCATGTTTCCAACCTATATGATCTTGAGCTTTCTTTTGCCAGTTGGGCCTGCAATACTTGCTGATATAATTGATTCATCTTGTTTTAGGTCTGTTTCGTGGACGTTTTTTATCAAGTAGGAACCATTCTGTGACTGCCTTGGTCCAGCTGCCATCAGTTCTTCTTGCTATGTGACCAGTTCATTTCCATTTCAATTCTTTTACTGTCTTGATGATATCATATACCTTCATTTGTTCTCTAATCCATGTGCAGGTCTTTCTATCTTGTCTTGTAATTCCAAACATATATCTTTCCACGGCTCTTTGCGATACTCATAGCTTTTGTATCTATTGTGACGTTAGTGTCCATGTTTCACTGGCATATGTTAGAGCAGATAGCAAATACTGATTGAAAAATTTTCTCTTTAGGCATAGGTTTAGATTTAGATTTTAGATTTTATTACACTTCTATATCGCCCTTCTCCCAAAGGACTCAGGGCGGTGTACAGCCATCTTAAAACACATATACACTACAAAATTTAAAAACAATTTAAAAACAAATATATAAAAATTTGGCCCACAAAATTAAAAGCTAACAGACACCCAATTTAAAATTCCTATTAGGCCAGTCCGGCTTGTTGGAATAAAAGAGTCTTCAGGGTGCAGCGAAAGGTACGCAGGTCAGGGATCATATGAACCTCTAGGGGCAGCTTATTCCAGAGGGCTGATGCCCCCACAGAGAAGGCTCTCCCCCTGGGTGTCGCCAGTCGACATTGTTTGGCCGACGGCACCCTGAGGGAGCCCCTCTCTGTGGGAGCATATTGGCTGGTGAGAGGCTATCGGTGGCAGAAGGCGATCTCGTATATACCCTGGTCCTAAGCCATGGAGCGCTTTAAAGGTGGTAACCAACACCTTGAATTGCACCCAGAAGACCACCGGGAGCCAGTGCAGCTTGCGCAGGAGAGGTGTTACATGGGTGTGCCATGTCGCCCCCATAATCACCCACGCAGCCGCATTCTGGACCAGTTGGAGCCTCCAAGTGCTCTTCAAGGGAAGCCCATGTAGAGAGTGTTACAGTAGTCCAGACGGGACGTGATGAGGGCATGAGTGACAATGCGCAGTGCATCCTAGTCCAGAAAGTATGGAGTATCAGGCGAACCTGATAAAAAGCTCCCCTGGCCACGGCCATCATATGATCTTCCAAAGACAGCCGTGCATCCAGGAGAACACCCAAGTTGCGAACCCTCTCTGAGGGGGCCAAGATCTTGCCCCCAATAGTCAGCGATGGAACCAGCTGACTATACCGGGACCCCGGGAACCACAGCCACTCGGTCTTGGAAGAGTTGAGTCTGAGCTTGTTTCTCCCTATCCAGATCTGCACGGCCTCCAGGCACCGGGACATCACGTCAAGGGCATCATTGGGCTGGTCCGGGGTAGAGATGTACAGCTGGGTGTCATCAGCGTACTGGTGGAACTTCACCCCGAAACCACGGATGATCTCACCCAGCGGCTTCACATAAATGTTGAACAGAAGGGGCGAGAGGACTGACCCTTGCGGTGCCTCGAGATTGACCTCTGTCCCCTGCCAACACAAACTGCGTACGGTCGGAGAGGAAGGAGGAGAACCACCGCAACACGGTGGCCCCCACTCCCAACCTCCAATCGTCGCAGCATGATACCATGGTCGATGGTATCAAAAGCCACTGAGAGGTCTAATAAGACCAGGACAGAGGAGCAGCCCCTGTCCCGAGCCCTCCAGAGATCATCAACCAATGCGACCAATGCTGTTTCTGTGCTGTACCCTGGCCTGAAGCCCAACTGGAACGGATCTAGATAGACAGCTTCATCAAGGTATTGGGGAAGTTGTCGTGCCACCACACTCTCAACAACCTTCGCAACAAAGCAAAGGTTGGAGACTGGACAATAGTTTGCTAATACAGCCGGGTCCAGGGAGGGCTTCTTGAGGAGGGGCTTCACCACTGCCTCTTTCAGAGAGGGAGGGAAGAAACCCTCACTCAAAGAAGCATTAATAATCCCCTGGAGCCAGCCTCGTGTAACCACCCGGGAGGCCAGGGGGGAGTTGTTCTTGAAAATTACATTTAGCTTGCGCCAAATGCCTGCCAACCATATTTATCACAACTTTTCTTTATTGTATCATCTTCCATTGAGATCCATTGGCCAAGGTATATATAGTGGTCTACTATATCTAGTTCTTCTCTAGATATAATTTTTTTCTTTCTTTAGTAAATTTATTAAACATAACCTAGCTCTTTTTCAGGTTTTTAAAGCTAAATGGTTCTCCTGTTTAGAAAATAACATCATCTACAAATCTTAAGTGATTTAAATAGGTGCCATTGATTTTTATTCCATCTTTTGCCCAGTCTACTTTGTGAAATACTTTTTCAAGGCAGGCTGAGAAAAAGATAGGTAATATTATTATCGCCTTGTCGTACACCTCATTCTATGTTGATTTCCACTTTAAGATAAGGCAAATTGTCACCATTGTTTTTTCATATATTGATTGTAGTAAGTTATGTAAGCAGTGTCTATGCCTTGGTTGAGCAATGCATTAATTATTCTGGAATACTGAGTCAAATGCCTTTTCATAGTCAATGAAAGCCATGCACAGAGGCATGATGTACTTGTTGTGCCTTTCAATGACTTGCTGAACAACGTGGATGTGATTCATTGTGCTGTGGCCACTTCTGAACCTTGCTTGCTCCTTTGGGTGTGCATCATTTAATATTCTCAATATTCTTTTTGCTATTATCTTGGTGAAATCCTTGTGGATGACTGAAAGAAGGCTTATTGGGTAATAGTTCTTTAAATAATCTTGGCCCCTTTCTTGTATATAAGAATCACTTCAGCATTTTTCCATGCATCAGGTTTTTTTCTTTTCTGAGGCATTATGAGTATAGTTTTGCTAGTATCTTGTGTAAATTGTGACCACCAGCTTTTGGCATTTCAGTCATAATACAATAATTTCCTGAAGCTTTTCCATTTTTCAGTTTAATTACTTAGCTAAATATCTCCAGTAAATAAAATAGAGAACCAACATAGTATCTCCCTTAATATAAACTATATTGGCTGTTTGCTATGGATATTTTAGTTCATTATACATTATATACAAGTAGTCCTTAATTTACAACTGAGTAGGGCCAGAAAATTTGTCATTAAGTGAAGCATCATATGACTGCACTCAATTTTGTGATCTTTGTTACCAGAATTATCACTACAGTTAAGTGAGAAATCACCATTAAGTGAGAAGTCACATGACTTGTGACTTTCCACTCCAGCTTCCCAATGGACTTTGCTTGTTGGAAACTGGCTAGGAAGATCACCAATAATGATCACGATTGCGGGATGCTGCAATAATCATCATAAAGGGGTGAATGTTACCAACCACCCAAATCATGATCATGTGACTGTAGGGTTGTAAGTATGAGAACTGGTCATAAGTATCTTTTCACCAAAAGAATGGTTATAAAACAAGGACTACGTGTGGTTTTTTTTTACCATTCTGCTGCTTTCCTTAATTTCATTCATTCCATAGATTAAAATAGCTAAACTACCATAGAAAATTATTGGCTAAAATGTTGATTCAGATTTTATTGAATTCATTGCTGAATACATGAGCCTTACCAGTACCAGTACCTTACCAGTATCATCCAGATAAAATCAATTACACATTCAGTATGAATGCTTTCAAGAGAAAAAAGCATATTATTTAATGTGAATAAAACCTGGAAACAACTATGGCAGTAAAGTATATGCAGATACTATTATGTCTATTGATGTCACATGAGAAGATACATGATCATGGAAAATACAGATAGTCCTCGTCTTAGAACCACAACTGACCCAAAATTTCTGTTGCTAACTGAGACATTTGTTAAGTGAATGTTGCCACATTTTACAACCTTTCTTGCCAATGTTGTTAAGTGAATCACTGCTGTTGTTAAGTTAGTGACAAGATTATTAAGTGTAACTGGCTTCCCCATTGATTTTCTTGTCAGAAGGTTGTAAAACTTGATCATGTGACCCTGGGACACTGCAGTCATCATAAATTTGAGTCAATTGCCAAGCATCCAAATTTTGATCACATAACCATGGGGATGGTGCAACAGTCATAAGTGTGAAAATTGTCATAAGTCACTTTTTTCAGTGCTTTTGTAACTTTGAAAGGTCACTAAATGAACTGTTGTAAGTTAAGGACTACCTGTAGTATGTAAAGTACTTGTTCTCATAGTTATCCATACTGTTACTATGAAGGCCTTTAGGGGGATGTCATTTGAGTAATGCTGGCAGTAACAGAATTTATCCTATCAGTTATCATGTGCTAAATACTCCCAGTATAATAATAATTAAGTAGAGCTTTACAGTAATCTGTTGAAAATATTGCATTAGGAATAGTTTTGCTAACTGGGACAGGTATATCATAATCAGGGAAGCACCAAAGCCAAGAGAACATAGTTCTTTTTCTGTGTAGTTTTCGTGTCAATATAGTATAAATAGTTGTCCTTATCTTCCTCTGGAAAGTTTTCAGTTTTCAGTACTCTAATTTTGGTATTCTGTTGAAGTTTCCCATCCTGCATATCTATTGCACCTAGATATCAGCCAGATGCTTCCACCTACTAAGACTAACTTAATTATATTTTATTCAGTAAACCACAACTGGCTGATTACATACAGCAGAATAACTATTAGGCTATAAGGGTGGACTTATACAGCATATTAAACCATGACCAACAAGCCATATTGAATATTATAAGAGTGAGTTATTTTGATAATTTACTCCAGCATGTGTATCTTCATGCCTGATCCTGGGAGTTTTAATTCTGAATAGTAAGTTTTAATGCAAATAAATCGTATAGTCTTAAATGTTTTAAGAACATAAACATTAAGAGTGGGAAAAGCATTGTAACTCTTCATATTATTATTTTCTTTCAGATCCAGTTGCTTCTTGAAAACCAATACAAAATAGAGGATAAATTCCTTAATGTAAGAGCTTAAAGAAAGGTACACCTGTAGTATTTTAATTTTATCACAAGTGTGGATAGTTACTGGGGGATAATTTATAAATGAAATACAGTGAATTGAAAAATTACAGATTTGATGACATAGATGATATCTGAAATCACTACTAGTAAAATTCTGAACTTGAACTTACAATGAGATTAGCATCCCTGTGTGTATGTAAGTTAGTATTGACCTTCATATTATTATAAAATTATCAGCTGCTTATTCAATTACTGTATTTGTGATTTGGAAATATTTGTGCAGCAGAATAGAAGAGTCATTCAGAATAGCATTATTGTCTCATAGCAATGGTGGGTTGCCAGCGGTTCACTCCGGTTCAGGTGAACCAGTAGCAGTGGCGGCGGGAGGCTCTGCCCACCTGCCCGGACATCATTAAATATGATCTGCACATGGGCAGAAGGTTCTGCACATGCGCAGACAGGAGACGCACGCCAACCAGTAGTAAAGGTAAGTGAAACCCACCCCTGTCTCATAGATAAAGGAAATATGGTTTTCTTCATGTTATCATAGTATCTGTGTAATTCTATTATATAAGAGCAGAGGAAACTTTTGTCAGAAAAAGTCTATAATGAAAAAGGAGAGAGAAATATAAGAAATTGTCTGATCTGGCTTCTTAGTATGATCACTCTTGTAAACAGTGTGATTCAGCTTCAAATCCATTATCAACATTAGTGTGGTTACTGTTTTTGTTGATCTCTAGGGTCTGGCAGACAAATTCTTTATGCAGATTAGTTAAACAAGATAATAAAATTATTCAAAATATGCAGTTAAGATATGCCATTCTTCTTGAAATTTGCCTCAAAATAATATAAAATAACACTGTGGTAAATGGAAAAAGAGCAGATATTAAGCAAGTTATGAAGATAAATACTTTTAAATAAAATAAACTTTTTAAAATATATTAAACACATCCCATAGCACTTTGTTAGCGTCAAGAGTTATTTACCCCTTAACTTTTAACTACTGCAGTATCTGCCACATGAGACTACCCTGGTATGAATGTGCTATTTGGGTTGCTAACTATTGTGTAACACAGGAATTACATGAGGCCATGTTGAAAGATCAGCAGTTAGTTACCCCTTGCTTCTTAAGCACAATTTAGGGTGCTGTGTTAATCTGCAAGTAATTTAGTATTTACGATCTGAGAGACACTCCCTTATAATGAATCTTTTCCAGACTAAAAATTTACAGAGGATATTTCCTATATCATTCCAAAGTTATCGAATAGATTCACTTGTAGTTGCATTTAGCTCATTGTCTCTACCTTTCAAAGAACAAAGAATCTTTACTGTTGTTAGGAATTTGCATTTTCCTATTAGGAGGAGTATGAAAACTGATTTTCTCATATTGCTCTTTGGTTTGTGACTACATTGTAAGAGATATGACATGAACATTCATATAGAGTAGAAGTGCCCCAACAGCATCTTATTTTAGTGGCCCTCAAAGCTATTAAAACATACAGAAGTTACAAGAAATTTGAATATCTCCTCCAAATGTTCAAGGAATATTTGAAGATGGTTGTGAAAGTCTCCCACATCCACACATTCTGTATTTGTGAACAAAGGTTCTTCTTGTGTACTTAAGTGTAGGAGGTAATTCTGATCTGTAAATGTTCATACACACACACACACACATATGTGTACACAATGTGTGTACACACTCATACACACATGCGGACCTGGCAGGTATTACGGAGACCTGGTTGGGCCAAGAGGGGGGGGTCCCCCTCGTTGAAATGTGCCCACCAGGTTTTCGTGCATTTCATCAGCCAAGGGCCCAGGGGAGGGGTGGGGGAGTGGCGGTGATTATTAGGGAGAGTCTTTGTCCGAGGGAGACCACTGTTCCTCAGATAGCCGGCTCGGGAGTTCATGGCTTCCATGACGGCCATGGACCTGACCCAGTTAGTTCAAGGCCCCACTCACATAGGAGGACACACTCTGGACTTGATTTTCATCTCTGGTCAGTGGTTGAATGATCTTGGTAGAGGGGACTTAGACATTAAACCCTTGTCATGGACAGATCATTCGCTCCTTCACTTGGACTTTCCTACCGCTTCCCCCTGCCGCAGGGAGACGGAACCGACTAAATGGTTCCGTCCCAGGCGCCTGATGGATCCAGAAAGGTTCCTGACGGAGCTTGGGCTGTTTCCTGAGACTCTGACACACGACTCGACTGAAGAGCTGGTGGCCGCCTGGGAGAGTGCGGCCGCCGGAGCTTTGGATCGTGTCGTGCCTTTGCGGCCTCTGACCCAATGCCGATCTCAATTGGCTCCTTGGTTCTCTGAGGAGCTGAGAGAGATGAAGCATCGGAAAAGACGCCTAGAGAGCATTTGGAGGACTAGTCATTCTGATTCCGACCGGACACAGGTGAGGTCTTATATCAAGACCTACCTAGTGGCGATAAAAGCGGCGAAATCTAACCATTTTTCCGCTCTTATCGCATCTGCAGAGAACTGCCCAGCCGCCCTGTTTAGGGTGACCCACTCCCTTCTTCGGGGGGGAGTGCGGGAGGATCCCTTGCAGGGTCGAGCTGAGGATTTTGTGCAATTCCTGCACAATAAAGTCGCTCGGATTCGGGAAGGCTTGGACTCCGACTGGGTGAGTCCGGGGGAGGAGACGAGGGTAGTTCTTGAGAATATTATCTGGGAGGAGTTTGATCCTGTGGCTCCCGAGGATGTGGACAGGGTTCTGGGTAGGATTAGTGCGGCCACATGTTTATTGGATCCGTGTCCCTCCTGGTTGGTACTGGCTTCCTGGGAGGTTACACGAGGCTGGCTCCAGGGGATTATAACTACTTCTCTGAGTGAGGGTGCCTTTCCCGCCACCTTGAAAGAGGCGGTGGTGAGGCCCCTCCTCAAGAAGCCTTCCCTGGACCCGGCTGAATTAGTTAACTACCGTCCGGTCTCCAACCTTCGTTTTGTGGCGAAGGTTGTTGAGAGTGTGGTGGCACGACAACTGCCCAGGCACCTGGATGAAGCTATCTATCTAGACCCGTACCAGTCAGGCTTCAGGCAGGGGCACAGCACAGAAACGGCATTGGTCGCGTTGGTGGATGATCTCTGGAGGGCCCGGGACAGGGGTTGCTCCTCTGTCCTAGTCCTATTAGATCTCTCAGCGGCTTTTGATACCATTGACCATGGTATCATGCTGCAGCGGTTGAGAGGGTTAGGAGTAGGGGGCACCGTTTTGCGGTGGTTCTGTTCCTTCCTCTCCGGCCGCTCGCAGTTCGTGTTGGCAGGGGGGCAGAGGTCGACCTCGAGGCATCTCGCATGGGGAGTGCCACAAGGGTCGGTCCTCTCGCCTCTTCTGTTCAACATTTATGTGAAGCCGCTGGGTGAGATCATCCGTGGTTTTGGGGTGAAGTGTCACCTGTACGCTGATGATACTCAGCTGTACATCTCCACCCCAGACCACCCCAACGATGCCCTTGATGTGATGTCTTGCTGCCTGGAGGCCATGCGGGTCGGGATGGGGAGGAACAGGCTCAGACTCAACCCATCCAAGACCGAGTGGCTGTGGCTGCCGGCGTCCCGATATAGTCAGCAGGTGCCATCGCTGACTATTGGGGGTGAATCTTTGCCCCCCACAGAGAGGGCTCGCAATCTGGGTGTCCTCCTGGATGCACGGCTGTCTTTAGAAGAGCATATGACGGCCGTGGCCAGGGGGGCCTTTTATCAGGTTCGCCTGATCCGCCAGTTGCAGCCCTTTCTGGACCGGGACGCCTTGCGCACAGTCACTCATGCCCTTGTCACCTCCCGGCTGGACTATTGTAATGCTCTCTACATGGGGCTCCCCTTGAAGAGCACTCGGAGGCTCCAGCTGGTCCAGAATGCGGCCGCGCGGGTGGTTATGGGCGCACCTCGTTGTGCCCGCGTGACACCCCTCCTGCGCGAGCTGCACTGGGTCCCAGTGGTCTTCCGGGTGCGATTCAAGGTGTTGGTTACCACCTTTAAAGCGCTCCATGGCACAGGACCCGGGTACCTCCGAGACTGTCTTCTGCCACCAATAGCCTCCCACCGACCAGTCCGTTCCCACAGAGAGGGTCTCCTCAGGGTGCCATCAGCCAAGTTATGTCGGCTGGTGACACCCAGGGGGAGGGCCTTCTCTGTGGGAGCCCCAGCCCTGTGGAATGAACTGCCCCCGGAAATACATAAGATCTCCGACCTCCGGGTGTTTCGCTGCGCACTGAAGACCCTGTTGTTCCGCCAGGCAGGGCTGTCAATATAATAATTTTAAATTGGGGTATTTTAATTTTTGGGGTTTTAAATCGGCCAAATCTATTTAATTATTTTAATTTTTAATTATTGTTGTGTCTTGTGTTTTTAAATTGGCTGTACACCGCCCTGAGTCCTTCGGGAGAAGGGCGGTATAGAAATAAAATTATTATTATTATTATTATTATTATTATTATTATTATTATTATTATTATTATTATTATCTACAAATAATTTATAAAGCAAGGCCAAATATCTGGATAGATCTATACTTTAATTTTTTTATATATAGTAAACTTGGACAAGGGGTCTGAATTTCTTGTTACTTCTTGTTTCATAAACAAGCATTTATAAGAGACTAATGACAACGAGTTTAAGATTTTATACATTCCAAGGCAAATTACACTACCTTTTCATCACATGTGATAACTAGAAGATTGGCTCTTGAGTTGGAAAGGAACTATTTGCTTTGTCAGTATAGTTCAGATAGTCATCTTACTTCTTAGAGAGCTGAAGTGGCAAGAAAAAAAAAGTCTTGAATATTGATTTGTGATAATATTCTCATCACATGAATTACCAGCTCAGCTGAGTTGTTTTCAAATGTTGTATTTTTATGTTGTATCTTTATTTATGCAGTTCTGTAAAATTAAGTTAGTTACAAAATTCATTGTTCTTTGTGTTCATGTGCATCAAACATATTCAAAAGATGAGTTTTTGTGGGACATACTCTCTACTTCACATTCCCACA